CCAGTTGTGAACGCTCAAAAAAAATCTTACTGCCTCCCACTTATCTTATTGTTTAAATGGCCCCTCAAATCCCCATGAGGAGTCCCATTAATGTATCTCCAGGAGCAGATTAATTGCAGGAGCACCTAGCTGACTGACCATCAAGCACCTGAATCCACACACAGGCATTAACCATCCCCACAGAAGAACGCTCCAGACCACACCCAAAAACCTGCCAGACGCCGTGGTCACGTCTGCTACAGGGCGCAAATAATTAACCCCAATTAATCTTGTTTGTGTCGTGCTCCTGTCCTGTTTTTATTACACTGAACCTTGTAGTGAAGTTGCTGAGGTGCAAAAAAGAGATTTTAATTATTTTGGTGTGTTTCAGTTTCTGCATTTAATGCTGGTACTTCTTGTAGACTCTAAGTGACATGTTTGCGTGGTAAGATGATCACAGGTTGAATCATTTAATCGCAACCTGAAAACAAATATTTCCTGTCCAGAATCCCTCTGCAGCAGTAAAGAGTCTGTTATTTCCTCGGGCACTCAGCAGGATGTCTGTTAGTACAGAGTTTGCTGTGTCATGGGAAGACATAACCAGACATTATCTGTACTAGCACCATAAATGAATAGATTGCTGATCTGGCGTGAGGGTGCAGCACAGTGGAGCCTTGATGGAGGGGCTCGTCTGCCTGGCAGGCCTCGTCCTGCGGGAGCTCTGGGCGACCAGCAGGTGGATAAAAGGCCCACTGTGGGCTGCAGATGGTGCATGGCCCTGGGTTGGAGGAGGGAGAAGGGGATGGAGATGGACAGGCTCACAAAGACCGCCTCCACCCACCCCCATCACCCAGCGCCCATCGACCCACATGATTCCACCGCTAAAGAAGAATCCCCAGTTGTTTGGCTGGAGGGAGGGAGGGAGGGAGGGAGGGGAGTGGGGAAGGCGTCTACGTACAGCTGGGTTACAGCATCAAGGTTTGAGCCTCAGGGAGAGGCAGAATTTACTCTTAATGGAGAGCGAGTACACCCTGTGACCTCAGCTTTGGTCTTTCCTTGCGTGGTAATTTCTGTTTCCCTTAACCTCTCGACTTCTTTTCCCTTTGCGCTGCTGACTGTCTCATGGTCTGCCTCTCACTTCTGCTTACTAGCTGCTGTCAAGAGCTCAGACCACAGCTACAGAACGACGCCTGTCGGGTCTATTGTTGGTCGTTTAAGGCTTTTCAGAAATGAGAGTCTATCTAAAGATGCAGACGCAACTCACACACAGTTCTCATGACATCTTGTAACTTTGGGGAGTCTCGATTAAAGGTTGCAGTATCTGCAGTATGTTAAAATTCTTTTTGAATAATAGCTGCTGATATGATATTGCTAATCCACCCACAGTGAACAGAAAGTCAGTGAGTGTTTCCTTTCAGTAAAGCCCATATAGTGTAATTGTATAATAAAGGGTGGTGTCTGTATGTAATTGCGTGCATTAAGGGATGGAGCTGCAGTAGTATATGGCTGCAGCGCATCAGTGGGGTGAGACAGAATAATTGAAAGCTGTTTTTATCTGCGGCTGTGCAGCTCCATCACATAGGTCTCTAATTATCGTGTCACCCGGAGATAATTCAGAAGACAAGATCGTTCACACACATACACACACACATACATAGGCGCACACATACACCAATTTGCAGCTGCTGGATCAATATGTGTCTGAAGGTGAAGTCTTATCAATACGGTATCCTTACATGTATTGTTCTCATGGTTCCTCGTGTATCCTCGTGTTTCCTGGATGCAGTTTGTGTCAGGGTTTATTTAATAGGGGACACTAAAAGAGAGAGCATGCTCGTGTGTGTGCGTGCATGGAAATAACTTGGGCTGTGTGAGTGATTCAGCAACGTTGAGGGACAATGTGCCTTAACTCAGGCTTTGTGCGTGATCCAAAAGCATGCATAAGAATGTAGACCTCCAGAGGGAACGTGAGTCTGGTTGATGATATAATTTATGATTTAGTACATGATGTATGTATATGGGAAAGTGCTGAGTGACTGCTCTCCTCTGCTTTTATGTTCTCGGGCAAGAGAGCCAGTATCTAAATATTTCATCATAGGAGGCAGATGCAGATGGAAGGCTGTGCCCACATTCATTGACTGAAGCAGGGATTACATTCATATACTAGCTGCAGAATAGTAGCAGCTACTCTGGGCTGGTTTGAGGGACTGTGATTTTGCAGCAAACTGGGAAGCAGAGAGCAAGTGAGTTATAGTCAGGCCTGTGCTAACTGTGTCACACACACTTTTAATTACAGCTCGTCCTGTATTGATTCAGCACAGCACGAATCAGTTGTATCTTTCTCATGCAACTGAAGTGATCGGCATATAGAAAAATATAGTGTTATATATAGAATATCTCTGAATATACAGAAGGACACCACATATTACAACACACGCCTGATTAATATTTAATATCTCCTAGTATTCATAGAAAATATATGGTAATGCTTTTTGCCACACTGTCAGCATGGCTATAAGGGATGAATATGTCAGCTTGTGTGTCTGTCCGATTTTGGTCCAGACTGAAATATTTCAGCAACTTTTCCTCTAGTGCCAGCATAAGGATGACATTCGTGGTTTTAAAGTGAAATTTTTTGGAAAGGTTTTGAATGGATTGAAATTTAGTACAGATGTTAATATCCCTGACAGGATGATTTTTTTTTAAAAAAGGAATTTGTTAATTATTCAATTTAAAATCAGGTATAGTTTGGGTTTTTCCAAAACCAGTGCCAAAACGTTGCTTTTAAAACTGTACTAGTTTCTGAAAAGTGCCTGAACGGATACTTAAAAACAAACAAACAAAAAAAAAAAAGCACAAAATGAAGGTCAATGTCATTAATGCTTTAAAATCTGAGCAGATTGGCTCGGTTTCTTCTTCTTGGGAAGAAGGCAAAGAACAATGGAAGAAGAAATGGCCCAAAAATTGCAAGAAATTAGGAAAAAGAGAATATTAAAAATTAAAAATCAAAAGTTAGGAAAAAAAATATGAAAGCTAAAAACAAACAAGGAAATAACTTGGAAAAAGAGCTTTAAAACATAATAATTCTGTAGCATTATTTAAAATATAAAATAGTGATAATTATAAATACAGTTGCTCCCTAGCATTTTAAATATAATTTTCTAAATCTATTTTTTTCTTAGCAAGTTGGTCATTGCCTTTTTCCTCATGTTTTTGAAAGATATTGCACCAATTTGCTCAGGGTTCAAAGGTTAAAATACTGACGAAAGGCATCTGAAAGCAGCCTAAGAAAAGTGATGTTGCTCCAGGTTTCAAAGGGTTAAAGAACTTTTTTATTTCAAATAATTTGTATGTGAAATTAAACAATATATTATACAATAAATCCAAGACACATTTTACAAATTCACACAATAATAATATAAATAAAACCTAACCCAACTACAACTAGGGCCTGAGCTTAATAAAAGAACACTAAATAGCAGTTGCAGTACATATAACAGCAAAATAAATTTTGAGGTGGGATCAATAATGGTCACAGTAACTCAGGAGAGACTCGGCAGCTGGATGTTTCTCCATAGCTGGTCCACCTTAAGTGAGTCTGGTCAGGTTTTAGTGAGAGGCTAACTTTGACTGCAAACTTCAGGGCTAAACCTCCTCACTTAAATCAGCAGGTGGAGAGCAAGACACAGGAACTTGGCTTGTGTCTTGAACAGTGCCACTGAAAGAGGTGCTGGTGTCGAGGAGTTGTAGCATTTATTCACTGACAGACAGGCTAAACGGTGCACACACTGCACTGCTATGTTTAACTTCACACTCTCTGCTCTGGTCGCTTCAGCCTCACCATAGACGTATCTATGAGCCTCACTGTCACTTGCAGGACAGGGTGCCTTTTTGCCTGTCGACCATTTTCTAATTTACAATGGAAATGAACTGGGAAATTTTTTTGTACTTTGAATGTAAAGAAGGTGTCGGAGTGCATAAACAGCATCAAAACAGAGCTTGTTTTATTTAAGAAAAAGGTGTCAGAAAAGGGCCCCTGACCCCTTGACAGAGGCCTGAGCCAAGTCCTTTATACGCCCCTGTAGACCTGTGTGAGGCTGGTGCGACTGGATTTACCTCTTGGCAGAGCTGAGTAAGGTCAGCAAACATCAAAAGGTTGAAAACAGGCAGTTCATTTATTATATATAGCAGTAAAAATGGTAAGTGTTTGTTTATAAACTGGCTCAGGTAGAGCATGTTAAGTACCCCTGCAGTAACACGTTAGCATTGTCATGAGTATGTTACAATGCTAGCATTAGCATTTAGCTTAGAGCACCACTGCCTCAGAATTGTTAGCATATGAAAAGACTGGTCTCTTTCTGCAACATAGCACCACAACACTTGGTATATCACATTAGACTGCACATATGTTAAATCGATGTCGATATATCTGATGTATTCCATGTGTGTAAAAATACATATTTCAGTTAAGTGCAGTTTTATAGCTCAGGCGAGATATTATGCACCATTAAAAAGAAGCTCCTAATGATCAAGCCTAGAGAGATAAGTCCTATTAAAGAGCTTAATATTTTTCTTGATAAATTATTCAAAAGTTTCCAGTTGCATACAAAACCTACCATGCTTCTGTACAAATTTGTTTTGAATAACCAGTTGGTGGTTATCTTCTGCTACTTGCAACTGATCTGTCAACAAAAAGAAAACATCTGGAGTGAGTCCTGACACTTTTCGCCCATTCATACAAATCTAAAGCCATTACTGTGCCACTCCCAGTGAGATCGATATTGGAAATTCCAAGATATTACACTGCCAGTAGCACTCCACCCCTCAAGGCCCAGGACTCTGGTGTAATCTTAGACTAGTACTCAATGAGGAGGCCCGCTGCCCGCCACTTTGTCAAGTATTGATTGGTCTTTCAAGGCTCATGTTGGAAGCAAACATAATGGACGGTGCCAGGGCTTGACAAGATTAGAATATGTATGTCACATGTGTATCTCATCAGCTCCTGTTCCTTTGCCTTGCAGACTTGTCCAAGAATCGCCTCACAGAAATCCCCCCTGAAGTGTGTCTCTTCGCCCCCCTCGAGTCGCTAAACCTCTACCACAACTGCATCAAGTGCATCCCAGAAGCCATTATCAATCTGCAGATGCTGACTTATCTAGACATCAGGTGGGTCACTGCCAACACTTTACTTTCACTTTGCTTCCTGTGTCTCGTTATATACATTCAACAAAAGTGAATGTGTGTGTGTTTGGTTTTATATCTCTCAAGAAGTGCTTGTTCCCTTTTCAGTGCACAAACAGGACAAAAACACTTTCATGAAAGAGAAGCACTTCCTCTTTTGCTGAAACTCAATTCCCAGTGACCAGACACACACTGTTACATGCCTCTGTATACTGTTTTAAAGTAGGTCAATCTTTTATCTGTCTCCCTACAGCCGAAATCTCCTGTCAGTTTTGCCAAAATACTTGTTCAGCCTCCCCCTCAAAGTTCTGCTCGTGAGCAACAACAAGCTTGTGTCCATCCCTGAGGAGATCGGCAAGGCCAAAGAGTTGATGGAACTGGTGAGCAGTGTGTGTGTGTGTGTCTCAGTGCATATAGACTTGTGTACACTGTGCGGCCCAGAGCGATCCCATTCCCTACACTTTGTCTCCCCTTGCAGGACGTGAGCTGTAATGAGATCCAGGTGCTGCCAGCTCAGGTGGGGAGGCTTCATGCCTTACGAGAACTCAACATCAGGAAGAACTGTCTTCACATGCTGCCTGAGGGTCAGTCCATCACACGTGATGCTATCCATGTTTCATTTCCCTGTGTTCTTTAGCAATATCCCATCATTTATTTAGGTTGACACTTTTGGCAAGAGCACCAGTCCTCTCACAGCCAAGACTGACACCTCTACTGCTTTTTTTGTGTTGGCTGTCATGTTACAGTCTGTGCAGCCAAAATGCCCTTGATGAGTGATAAATAGTCATACAACAGAGGTGAAGAATTCCCGGAGTCTAGACATGTTTTAACAATCCTTAAATGTAATGCAACAAATCATGCAGCCTCTGATATTAATAACAATAGTAATGATCTTATTTATAAAGCACTTTTCAAAACAGTTACAATATTTAAAACAGACAAGACATGAAAACTACTTTCAAAAGAACTGATAAAAACATTTAAGTGTATAAAAACTGAGAAAATAAAGGACAGTTTAAATCAAGTTAAAACTCAAGTAAAATTAGGAAAGGCTCTCCGATAAAAGTATGTTGTAAGAAGGGACTTAAAAGAGATCATTGACTCGGTCGACCTGATTTCCAAGGGCAGATTGCCCTGACAGCAAATGCTCTGTCCCCTTTAGTTTTAAGACCTCTGCCCGAGGACCTCAAAGTACATCCTTGCGTGTACGGCACTAAGAGGTCAGAGATATAGCCGGGAGAGAGACCATGAAGAGCCTTAAAAGTAATCAGTAAAATCTTAAAATCTGTTCTAAAACATACTGGGAGCTGATGTGATCACGTCTCTGGCAGCTGAATTCTGAACAGTCTGGAGTCGATAAATAGATTTTTGATTCAGGCAAGAAAAGAGGCTGTTGCAGTGATCCAGGCGTGAAGAGATGACAAGCTTTGTGAAATGCTGCGTAAAATTTAAATTACTGTCAAACCAGACTCCAAGATTTCTTGCAACAGGTTTGATATTATCCAATAGGGGACCAGCCAAAGGCAGAGGTTGTGGAGTAACGTGCTGTTTATATCATAAATAATAGTTTATATTGTATATTTTTTTTATTTATAAGTTAGAAGGTGAAAGTGATAAGGGTTGCAATAATTAAGAGCAACTTTGGTGGTTAAGTGTGTTTAGGTCATATGAATTCACCCAGGCTGGACTGTTATGAAGCAGACATAAAGGCAGTTGTGGATACCTTTCCATAGTCTGTATGCATCTGAATTAGAGTGAATTAAATGAAAAAAAATATAACACCATCACACCCTTGAAAGGACAGTTCACCCCCAAATCAAGAATATCGATTCTTCCTCTTACCCGTAGTGCTATATGGCTAGATGGCACTCTTTGCAGAAATCATGACCCGGTCACTCTAGATAACCCACAGACCTTGTTGTGAGCAGTTTCATGTAGGAGCTTACTGAACTACACCCGTCAACTGTATCACCACACAGAAGGAAGCGTGCATCTACTGCTAGCTCAGCTGAGGAGGACACCATTAACGTTTACATCTCATGCTGTCAAAAGCATGAGCCTCTCATCCATGAGTAAATGCGCCTTACCTTTGCGCAGTGATGCTGTTGGTGGGTGGGGTTTGGTAAATTTGGAAAATAGTTCCTACATGAAACTGCTGACAACTATTTCTACGGATTATCTGGAGCAACTACCATGACGTTGCTGTTGAGTTTGTCAAATGTATTTTTTTAGCGCTTTGAGCACCACAAGCTGCCACCAGTTTAGAAGATGTGGGTGTTAACAAGGTAAGGAGGGTGCAATGTGAAGTTGCTATAAGTTACATTATCTAGTGATTTTTGGAGTTTGACTCATACTAGGGACAAAAATCTAAAGTGTTGATTAATTTAACAGTGAATACTAAATCAACAGGGCACTCCTTTATGATGTAGAAGAGATGAGACCATTGTGGACTTAGTTTTTAGGGTGTTGCCGTACTCTGATTAGGTCTAACCGGCTAGCATAACAAAGCATCCAACTCGCGTGCATCACATTCAACATACGCTGTTCTCTGGTCTGTACTTGCAGAGTTGGCTGACCTGCCTCTAATCCGACTTGACTTCTCCTGCAATAAGATCACAGAGATTCCTCCAGCTTACAGGAAACTCAGGCAGTTGCAGCACATCATCCTAGATAACAATCCTATGCAGTCTCCACCAGCACAGGTGGGTGCATTCATGTCATGATTCTGTTTGTTCACATCATACAGGTGTTGAGTGTATACATGACATGCAGCATGAATGTTTTTAAGGGTTTTCTGAGTTGACAGGTTGACATGTCGCGCTCATTCTAATGAAACTGGTACAGTTGCACCATCTAGTGGATGAATCAACAAAGTTCTCTCTCTTGTGGCTACAACACCTCTGACTCTAGAGCAGTGGTTCCCAACTGGTTCAGCCACAGGGTCCAGATTTCTCCTTAGTCATTAGTTCAAGGTCCACAAAGTTTGATATTTTTAGCGTCATACTTGTGTTTGGCCATGTCATCTAGTTAGTTTGCTATCTCTTTCAAGTAGCTGTCTGTTAGTCACCCAGTCTACAGCAGGAAATTCCCCGAAATTCACTGTACTTCAAAATAAAGTGTGTCTTATACAAACTTCATTTGCGGCCCTTTCAGAATGGACCCACGATCCACCAGTTGGGAACCACTACTCTAGAGACACCTTCCTATCTTGTCATTTCTCAGCTTGTCCACCTGTGATTACTTTCCTCGCCTCCTCTCCTCGTGTCTTAAGCCCTCCTAACTGAGACGTGAGCAGAGGAGGCAAGAAAGAGACACAAGGCACTTAACAAAATGAGACATCCATTCTTTGGAGCTGCCATTTTTAAATGACGTCAATTAAACATGACATGTGGCACAGCTGCGCCATCAGCTGTGTGTGACACCTCTTTTATACATCTCGGGTCCAGAAAGGACTTCTACAAAGGATACACCTGTGCCTCCTCACTTACTGCTCTTCCAGCAAGCCTCCTCTCTCCTCAAGATGCATTTTGGGAATTGAGACATCCTTCAACGTGGTGTGCTAAGATCTAATATTTGTGGGTCGCTGGGAGGAGGGAGGAAACGAGGAGGCAAAAAATAGAGGAATAACAAGATCCCCTGGTGTGCTTTTTTATGTTTCAGATTTGTCTCAAGGGCAAAGTGCACATATTCAAGTACCTGAACATCCAGGCATGCAGGATGGACAAGAAGCCGGACACCCTGGACCTCCCCTCCCTCGGCAAGCGTTGCCTTCCACAGCCACTTACAGATAGGTACTGACACATTTATTGTCACTGTTATATCTTCCTTTAACATATTATTTGCATGTACAGTAGTTACCTGTTTCAAAATACAGCCCTAATGAGCAGTTTGGGTTTCTTTGCACATTTCCAGCATGGAAGATTTTTATCCCAGTAAGAACCACGGGCCTGACTCTGGAATCGGTAGTGACAATGGTGACAAGAGGCTGTCTACAACTGAGGTCAGAGTTCAAACACTTGAGCTCAGCTGATTGCCAGTGCATGATGAACATGTTATCATGTTGTACTACTTAAATTGAACATTTCAAGATCCAAAAATGTAAAAGCACCCTGTGGAATTTTGCTTCTGATTCACTGCTGCTAGCCAGATGGTTGCATATAAATCTAACAAACGGAAAAACTCTTGCTGAGGCATTAGCACTCACAAGCAGACCCTCCAGACGAAGCAGCAGAGGATAAAACAGTCCTTACTAGGCAGTAGAAAAGTTGACGGGTACAACAAACAAATCGTGAGAGGCCAAAGCAGTAGGCAGTGGTAAAAAACTGGCAGAGGATCATAACAAAAATGGTGGGCAGAGCAGACAAGAGTCAGATAGTGATGGCAACTTGGCAGCAGAATATCTGGCAAGAACTAAAAGCTTTGGACCAGGTAGACTGGCTAATGGGAGGCAGGTGTGCAGCTCGGGTGGGTAGGTGATCAGGGGTGACTGGCTGAGGTGGGAAGTTCTCCGAGGGTGACTGGTAGACAGATGGAGAACGGCTGAGTCATGACAGGAAAGGCTGTTGTGGGAAGTCACCAACTTTGAAACACGTGTAGGAGTCCACCTTTGCCCCCGACACTAGGAACCACCCTGCTGCTCCTGCTGCTGAGTCAAAGTGTTGCATTAGAAGCCAACATATGTCATAGACTTGGAATTTAACAGTCACTGGAAAAGTTATGGAATTAGTGAAAGTCGTTGAAAGTTTTGGAAAAGTAATCTTCAGCGGATGAGCTTCCACCTAAGGTCACATAGCATCAAATGTATTTTCTGTAGCTGTCGACGTGTTGTAGCTCAAATTTGCGATGTGTGTGAAAATGTGTGTGAACCCTGATCGTCAATCTTGTGAAAGCAGAATAACATTAGAGACTTCATCCAGTCACATTCGTTAAAAAGGAATACTAAAATACTGCACTAGAAATGAGAAGTACTTGTACACAAATAATCCTCTCTCCTTTGCTTCTTCTCCTGCAGCCTTCAGACGATGACACTGTCAGCCTGCACTCTCAGGTTTCAGAGACAGCCCGTGCTGATGCCCTGTCGCTCCTCTCCAAAATGGATTCTTGCAAAGGTTACCGAAAATAAGTATCACATATTCCCTTTGAAAGCAATAACAGAGACACGGGGTGGTTGAATGAAGTGCCTAAAATGTGACAGTGTATTTGATGAACGCGGATGCTTCCTCCCTCTATCAGATCAGGATCTCTATGACTTTATAGACCCCAACCCGGACGAGGATCCTGCTCTGTCAGAGTGTGACGGGCAGCAGAGCAGTCATGTGTCTTGTATAAAGGTACGTGTATGTATCTGTTTATCAAAACGGATCATTTCAAACGTAAAGGAAATCAGAACGAGTTCCCCAGGAGATAAAATCAGTCACAGGCTGCTGGTTCCTGACATTATGTTTTTGTGTTTGTGTGTGTTTCAGGAACTGGAGAAAGTTCTTAACATGTCTCACCAAAGCAAAGATAAAGATGGCTGGAAAGAGGAGTCAGGGTGAGGTCATAATTCACCACATCTTTGGACACTGATGCTTGAGCAAACATGTTTTGTCTTATTCATTTCACAATGCATGGAGCTCATGATTGCAATAACTGCACAAGGAGTTCAATGGAAGAGAGGAGTTTCCTGATGGCAGCTTTTTCAATAATGAGTCACGAGTTGACAGGCTGTCATAAGGCTGAATAATTAAAAACATAGAGCATGCACAGAGGCCTTCTGCAGTTCTTGAATGATGTCTCTGTGAAAACATTGCAGCACTAAAAAGCAAAAAAAAGGTGCTTGTAGATATGTGAGCAAAGGTTTTCTACAAATCAGGAGACGCAGGCTGAAAACACATAATCCTGAAGCACTGATCAGTAGTTAGAGTAGCTGAGTGCTCGATCCATCAGCTAGGTGGCGCACCCCTGATGCAAGCAGTTAGCTCCTTTGATCAGCAGCTGCAAATATACAACGCGTGCCTCAGCTTGAATACTACTCCGCTGTGACACTGACGAATCGGTTTGATGGACAGGTGTTGACCTTGTATGTAAACACTACAAAATCCGCCAGCAGCTTTTATGAATACTCTTTTTGTGGGTTGTGCCAGTTTAAAACATCTGCAAATATTTTGGGAGGTTTACAATGCAAAAAGTTAGACAGCTATGTGCGGACGTGATTTATTTCACCTCAACAAGAAACAAATATCACATGGTCAAAAAGTTAAGTTTATATTACAGAATTTACCCAATACACGTGGCCCTGTCAGCGAGGCTTTAGTGTTTTGACAGCTGTATCGAGGCTTTCTGAGTGATTATGTTGCTGCCAAATGTTTAAACGGGGGAGTCAAATAGGGTTGTGGGGTTTTGTGACAATAGTAACTCTGATTCTGAACTTTTCCCCAGCTCTGACAAGGAGCAGCTGGTCGAGGAAGAGGACGATGAGCTGAAAGAAGTGCTGGATCTGAGGAAGATTGCTGTCCAGCTTCTGCAGCAGGAGCAGCAGAATAGGTGTGTGGCTCTCGCTTTTCTTGTAGTGACGTCACAGAAAGCCATCCCACTCTAACCGAATCACTCTGCGCTGCCATTAGTTTTGATCTCCGTTCTGCTGCACTGCAAAAACGCACCTCTTTCTTCTGTTACTTCCTCCTCACTCCTCTCAGGAGAGATTGTTGTTTAATCGTACAACCCGTGAAATCCTCTCTTATCTTATCCTCTCATCACATCTGTGCTCCTGTTCCTCAATAACCAAACAGATGTTCTGTCTGACATCCCCAAATATGGCTCCATCATCACCATTTTACCACCCTAACCCCCCCAAATCAAACTGTCATCAGCATTACTTCACTCACTCTCTGTGCACTCTTTTCCCTTCCTGACTATCTATTGTTCCCTGCTTTCTCCCTCAACTCAACCGCTGCACATTTGATGTACGGCTTCTAGACGACGGTCCTTAATTTGCAGAGCAGAGAGTCTTATTCACCGACGGAGAGTGACTGGCCGAGCACACAGGTAGGTGAACTTTCTTTAACAGCATTTACAGGTCAAGGCTAAAAACTAGAGGAGGCCAAGTCTTTGGAGTCATGACCCCACGGCTGATCTGTTTCTTCTCTCAACTCTCTTAAAATTCTACTTTTATTTATTATTCATGTGGTCATTTCTCTTGTTTTTATGTCTTTGCAAAGCACTTTGTAACTGGTTTTCATAGATGGCATACAGATAAAGTTACTGTTTGTCACACAGTTGATAACCAGTGGTCGTTTCAATCACACTGACACAGTATGAGGAATTTCAGCTGTTTCTATGCTTGAATTCATGAAAATATTCTTGTCATAGAAATGGATTTAGCTCTCTTTACCTGTGAGGCTAGTTTATGCAAACTTCGAACTTAAATCAGTGCTGCTGTTAAAATGAAGACTCATCGATAGGCTGTTTAAAACTTGACAAAATAAACTTTTTAAATGGGTCTAAGTGTATTTTACCTGTTGGAATGTTTGTTAATGCACTTGCTGACAAGGAAACTATAAAGAAGGAGCATTCATCATGACAGTGATCATGTTCGAGGAGCCAGACTGTCTGTCTGACTGTGTCAGGTCAGTCGGAGTCAACGGGGTGGTGCGGTAAATCTCAATATATCTTTGTTGTTTCAAGTTTGACTGAAAAATCCTTCCACCAGATTAAAAAAACACTATCAAACACAATGGTGGACTCACAAATGCAGACTGAGATGAATTCCAAAGTTCAGGGTTTTTAATACAGTCAGGGTTAGTACACAATAGGCAGTCAGCACAGGTAGAGGTAACCAAACCAACAGGCAAAAACTCATTGGTTTTAATACGAAAAAGGTCAATCTCATGAGGAATATACATTAAGGAGAACACAGAAAGCTCTCACGAAGGACAACACAATCTAGCAGAGAACAAAGGGAAGACACAGACTTATATACCCTCTGACAGGGGAGGTAATGAGACACAGGTGGAAGCAATCAGACAATCAGGGCGGCGGGAAACTTGACAGGACATCGGGAGGCAAATAACAGACTTTCAAAATAAAACAGGAAGCAGAACATCACATTCAAACCCTGACACTGACAGATTTTTTTTAATCAAAGTGTGTGCATTTCTTCTTTTTTATTGGTCTCCAGACAGATCATGTCTCTGTCCAACAGAGGCTGCGATGCAGCTGACGGATGTAATGTGTGGGGGTTTTTTTCATTTGAAGGTGAAACAACAAAGATTTTATGGGTTCTAGTGTGATTTGCAGTGCTCGCCCCGGTGACATCAAAGTCTGGGTCCTCCTTACTGACATATGACCTTTCCTTCTATTTTACTTTCCCTGGTAGCTGACAGGAAGTTGCAGGGACCAAAGCTGTCGCCCTAGCAACATATGAGCAATGAAACAACCCTTAAACAGACGCTCTTACTTACTGTCCCATCTGTTGTGCAGACAATTCCCCATTGTTTCTCAACTGGCAACATTTCCATTGAATTTGACTCAGCCCAATTGTTGCATAGTTTTGTATTTGTAAACATAGCATCCTAAGTGACGCATGGCAATCCATGCCTATCATGTAACATGAGTCATCACCATTGTCACAGTTGCACCTGTCTCTTTTTTTGCAGATTCTTGAGTCACTCTGGAAGCTCCGGCAGCAAGCCGAGGCCACCGCCTCAGACGGCTCGCAGGTATGCACTGTACCACATGTTCAGTCCTGCTGAGGACAAGCACACATTTACAACAGGGCCCTTGCAGAGGGCGTGTGGTAAAGATGACCAGGGGTCTCACAGCGCTCCATAGCCTAAAATTTTCTAGTAAGGAGGGATTATTTTTTAAATTATCAGAGCTATTCTTTGCAAGGAAGGGACAGAAACTTTTACCCCAGTGAGGAAGTATCATTGACCTTTTTGCTTGGTATGACACATTGTTTTAACAGATGTAAGTGGTTGTCTTGTCATGACTTTGTGAGCCTGCAAGGTGTGGGTATCCAGTGGAAATGAACTGTGATTGTGAAAGAGTTGTAATAGTGTGATCCCTCTGCTGATGGATGGTTGAGACAGTTGAGACTGTTGCATTTTCCCAATTGCGAATATCTTAGTGTGATCACGTCTGGTATTATAGTGTTACTGCATGAGAACATTGATGAGAACATTAATCCCTGCATGATCTGATCTGTAGCGTTCCACTGACTCACTGTCATCCAGTGTTTGGAGAATATTTCTTCTACCTCTTTGTCTTTCCACCATTTTCTAGTCTGTTTAAGAAACTCTTGAGCTTTTTAAAATACCTGAGGGGTTAAGATGCTCTGTGAATAACGTTTACTTTTATTTTGATAATTTTCTCAGAATTTTGTCACAGGGAACAACTCTTAGGAAAAGGAAGTTTTGTGAATACAGCCTCAGAAGCAATATATCTGCTTTGATTGTCACATGATGTCATTTACCTGTGCTGTTTGATCAGAAACTTGTGCCTCTGGAGGAATAGTATATTTTTCTGACTGGTTTTATGAAAAAGAGAGAAAAACAAAGTAAAACATCAACTTCGGAGGCAAATATTTAACTTTTTTCCAATAAATGATCTTTCCTGTAGTCTATAAATACCTGAAAAATACAGTAATAATGACCATCACAATTTCAAGGAGCTGAAGTTTTCACCTATCCAATAGTCCAAAACTCAAAGCTCTAACATTCAGAATTGTATAAAGCAGAGATAACAACAGATACTCACATTATAATTGATAAAACCAGCAGTGTCTGTCATTTTGCTTCATAAATGAAGATATTGTTGCTGTGATAAAGTTAAAATTGACTGTAGGGTGGGTTTTGAGATGGTATTTGAAGAATGTTTTGCTGTCAGACTTTCCAATGTGTGGAGGTGGGGAGTTTCAGAGCCTCGGGGCAGTACAGCTGAAAGCCCTGGCACCCGTGGTGTTTAGGCGTGAGGTGGGAATGGTCAGGAGACCACCAGAGGAAGAGTGAAGGGAGTAGGGGGGGGTGTACTCCTGGAAAAGGTCAGAGAGGTAGGTGGGGGCTAGGTTGTGCAGGACTTTGAAGGTGAACAGACGGTTTTTGTAGACAATCTGGTACTCAACAGGGAGCCAGTGTAATTTGATGAGGACAGGGGTGATGTGTTTGGATGATTTGGTGTGGATAATGATCCAGGCAGCAACTTATGCCTTTAACCTTGCAATCCACTTGATCAGCCACTGGCTTTACTGGTCTTTACCTTCCAATGCCAGGGCTTGCAACCAGCGTGGACGCTAATATTCAGATATTACCCAGATAATATCCTGCATGGTCAGGTTAATCGCAGGGCAGCTCTGTAGTGTTTAATTTCTGGTTCTAATCAGACTTGAGGACATTGAGCCTCATGCAAGAATCACTTGGAAACAAATCTCAAAAATGTTTACAAGAGAGAGATGCTTAGGTCCATAGTTTCTTTAAAGTCATCTGATGCTACTCGTGTCTTTATTCTAGTGCTTCTCTGGATGAAGGAAGTAGTGGAGCATCGGTGCTGAGTGGACAGGTACAAACTCCTTTTCTTCAAAGCAAACATACCATGAGTCAAAATGTCCCGAGTCTATCAGTTTCTTTGTTTATGCTCGCGTCTCTCCCATTCATCATATGATGTTTTCTCGCTGGACGGATGAAGAGGATGATTTTTTTTTTATGTGCTTGCTTACAGCCTTCTTTCTCCTGCTCCTTTGATGGCAGCCTGAAGACAGATCAGTCAGACTCAGAGCCAAAGTGGCCCGAAGTCCCACCAGTCCTCAATCAGAATGAAGATCGCAGGCGGAACAAGTACCTGAGAAAAGATTATCTGAAGGTATGAGCGTGCGCACGGCTCCCCATAGCCGCAGCAGTCTAATTTATGGTTACTTTGATTAAAAATAACACAGTGAAAGAATGTAGGATGATCGTAAGTCATTCTTTTATAATGAGTACATCAGCACGATGTCTACGAAACAGACAGTCAACAACACAAGTCTCCTCAAGTTTGCATCCATAGTCAGACACCCATTCAACCAGACAACACAAATAGAGGTTAGCAAAGTAATTAGCGTCAAATCGTAAAAAGAACATGTCTTTCCTTTCCTGACAGTATAAGTGTCAGAGTGCTCGGAAAAGCTCCAGTGGGAACGATGACTGTGAGGTGAGTTTAAGAAACTTCCTGTGTGAATAAACATCTAAACATCATAGTATTTCAGAACATCTTTCAGTGCTAAGACAATGCCTCATTCTGGTTTCATGAATGTTGTGTCTACAGGAGGGCTTGCGCAATGCCGATTTCAGCACCACTCTCACAGTGTTTGGACTCAAGCCCAGATCAGGTAATGTGGTTGTTGAATGACACTGTCAACTGTTTGGCTCCATATTTTTCCTTTTCACTGCAGTAGTAATCACGGAGCTGAAGTTTAAAAATAGTCCCCTACTGGGTTATTGTCTTTTAAATATGCAGTGGGAATGTAGGATATCACCTCTCCATGTGCGTGAGGAAGTTCACGTCCAGCGTGACATCAAGTCCAAGCCCTATGTCCTCTTCTGAAGAGATTTCTGATGATTATAAAGACATGGATACAAGCAAGGATGTAAACCCTTAAGACTTGATAAATCCAGACACTTGAAGCTGGAGTGCGGGACTTTAACATATTAATGACTGTCTGCTACATGCAAGCCCCTGCGAAACAAGGTTACACAATGCTGATTAAGCCTATCACTGTCAGGTAAAGCATCTTCTGTTCTGTAGTATACTGGAGTTGTGGTGTCTGTGGCGACTTTCCCATGCTGGCACACAGGAAATATCTCATTTCACATGAACCAGCCAGAGCTAAAGGGGGCAGGAGGGAGGAGGAAAACACAACAATGGAGCAGAAGCTGGGAGTATGGCGAAAACTGTTGCGGAAAATGTGTGTTAGATGGTTCAAATAAAAAACTTTGTATTCAGAGGATAGACTAAAGTCAAAAAAGACTTGAAGGGAGTGCTCCTATGGGCTCCTACGGGAAGATGTGGCGAGCTCACCTGTATGCATACGTCATAAGCATGGGTCGACAGTGTTTGTGTTATTACTCTCACTGCCAGAGGGGGGAGACAAAAGCTCCATGCTCAAGCTTTAAGGTTTTTTTTTGTTTGTTTTGTTTTTTTTCCCCCAAATTTTATTTAACAGGGACCATGTGTTATAAACATTAATCTCGAATCACAAGAAGAGATGCATAACACCAGATTTAGCTGACAGCTAGTTTCCATCTGCGGTCCCCACGTAAGATAACAAATAACAAAAAACAACAACAAATAAACAAAATAAGTTAACAGACAGTCAATGTTAATTGCTGTCCCCTCACAGTACAACATCAGCACGGCCACACATAGTCACAACCAACACATTTACTGTAACAGCAACTTGCCAGATCTTGATTGCCCCGGGGTGATCTGAATGAATTTTTTAAGTGGGCGAGGTGCAGTGCCATCGACAATTTTAAAAACCAGCCTTAGATCGGAATACATCACGAAGTTCTCAAAGTTCATCATGTTATGTTTAGCGAGTATTTTACAGTGATGATACATTAGCGTTTTCTTATCAAATGTTTTCAGCGCTTGCTTGTAGAGTGATACAAGTGGCATAAGAGTTGTACAATTTGTTTGGGACCAGCAAGTTATACAACATGAGAAGTAGGACAAAATCATAGCATGCAAAAAAGGTCTTAGCTGCCTCGTCTGTGAGAGAGTTTCTTATACATCTAAAAGTAACTAAGTAAAAGTGTAAAATTAGTAAAAAGCAAAACATATTTATGTAAAATCTACCTCATTCATTTGCTGTCATTGAGTCTCTTTTACTAAGGATACCTTCAAATCAATGGGATGAACTGAATGAGTCTTTGTTAGGTCCAGTTAGCCTCCACTAATCTAAAAAAATCAAAATGAAGCTTGCATAAACACAGAGGCAGTGATCCATTTTAACCCAAGGCTCATAGCTGAAGCCAAGTTTTTTTTCTTTAGGTGGAGTCCCGGCACCCCTTCTCTGGAAGTGGGGAAGGTTTCTGAGGAACTGTTGATCTGTTCTTTATCAGTGTATTAGCAGTCAAGGACAAGGTGCAACAGGATTCATGTCTCTTCCTGACATGCTTTATTTGGGTGCATGAGTAAATCTTGTTTCAGTGCCCAAAAAAGTCATGGAAATGTGTTTTTATTGTTGCTGATTATAGCTATCTGTAGAAACAACAGTATTCAGATACTTGACTAAAGTAAAAGTATCAATAAAACACTGTAAAAACACTCCATTGCACTTACAAGTCCTGCATTGAAAATGTTATTTAATAAAAAGTATGTGAGCATAATCACAGTACTCAATTACTCGTGCACTCATTTGCAGCTTGTTGAGCTGCAGCTAATTCTTTAAGTTTGATACAAGGCTGCAACTAATGACAGTCTTCGCCATGGATCCATCTGCTGATTATTTTCTCGATTAATCAATTTGTTATTTGTTTTGTTAAACTTAAAAAAATAGAGAGTAACTCCATGACAATCAACAAGAACCAAAGTGACATCTTCATGTTGCTTGTTTTGTCCAATTTGTCCAGTGCCATGTGCCATTGCCATGAGGGGGTTTACTTGGTCTGCAACGGTGTTTGAGTGGGTGGAGCACATCCACATGAATGCCAGCATCCAAGGTTTCCCAGCAGAACAGTGCACTGTAACAAAATGATCAATGTTATTCACTTAACCCACCAGTGGGTTTTAATGTTTTGGCTGATCAGTGTATATGTAATGTGTATTTTCATTGCAGGTTTGGTCTTAAAATTCATAAAAGGTGGTATTAAAAAGGTCTTAAAAAGTCTTAAATTTAACTTACCTGTAGACACCCTGGATTAAATAAGTCTGCAAATCCCCACATTTAAGAGGCTGAAACTGTGAAATGTTTGGCATTTTCTCTTAACGTGATTAATCTGTTTTGTTGCAGAATTGCTTTAAAGGTTCTGTATGTAATATTCAGAGCAGTAATACAGCAGCAAACCACTATTTGTTATGTAAAAACAGAGAGGAGTCATGACGTCATGACCACAGAATGACATCAGGCTCCCTCTGTGTGGTTTGTTGCAGTGGACTGTCCAGCCATGTGTGCACATTAGTGCAAGTGTGTATACCAGTAGTTCATTGCTGCCACTTTGCACTGCACTTATACTCTGGTTATAGCTTATATTAGGATGGTGTCGCCACAGATGCGTAGTGCCCATCCTCTGTTTCCTCCCTGGTTAACACTGTTAGCTGTTTATGGAGTTAGCACCATTAGCTGTTAGCCACCGGCGCAGCCACCTCCATGATTGGAGTGCTTTCTGAATTTCACATTGAGCCTCTGTAATTGGCTAATTGTTCCATCTCCATTGTTATATAAAATGTTTGTATCATGTATTATTAGAAGCTAAGGTTTTAGAACTTAAGTGAGCAAATGAGGAACAAGGATTTGTGTAGGATGCAAAACTTTTTACAAGAAGATTTGTAGGAAACACTCGCCCATATTCTACAAAATAAAGATAAAGTATTCGGAAGTATTCGTCACATCTCAACCATTTTTTTATAGGAGGTAAAAACAAGATGCAATCATATTTCTTGGTGACATCACCCTTTTTTCAGATAAGAAAGATAATATCAAGGTATCTTGGACATTATCAAAGGGCGTTGGTTTTTGGCTTTACAAGAGATTTTCTTTTCGGCAGACTTTCCAGGAATGAAAGGTGCCTATCTGTTATGACCTGAAGTAGCTTTGCCAGGAATGTCAACAGTAGCTGTTTCTAGGATTCTGGGTTATCTGGAACTGAGCACACTTCATTTATTTTTTCAGCTTTCACCAGAGGAAGCCGCCAGGAGTACAGCTCAACAGACCCCAGTTTCACCATGAGGAGGAAGATGGAGCACTTGAGAGAGGAAATGGAGCAGATTGGACTGTTACGGCAGGTCAGAAGCTTCTGGGCTTGTTTATGCTTTTGCATTTTGCACAAAGTGCTGAGTCATTCGCAGGCCGAAGCCTGCCAGATCCTGTTTTTGTTCCAGTGTTTATACTTTTAAGTGAATAAGTGGTATCTAAAACCAGAGGAGTGTGTGTGTGTCCATTTGGTGTCTGACAAGTTGAGGCCCTCTGCACTGTGTATCAGCCCTATGACTGACTTAGTTTGCCTATGCAGTACAGTATATTTTGTGTTAAGTTAAACTTGACCATGACACCTCATCACCATGCTGCTGCTGCCAGTTTCTCCTTAATTAGAGAGCTGCCCTTTTTGGAACTACCAACCCTACTGTCACGGTTTTTGTAGAGATGGTTTTACTGCTTTGTACAAGTGCCACATTTTGTACTTTTTAGTATTAAAATGAGTAGTGTTTAGTAGTACTAGGAGTAATTCTTCGCAGTTGCAGTAGTAGTTAATGTAGTATTAAACTCTGTTCTCTCTAGCTACATTAGTAGCAGTAAAACCTGCTGCCCATAAGCACTAACAGAAAGAAGCCTTGTTAAAGGAATTCTTTGCCCACAAAATGATTATTGTATACCATTAGTCATGTCATGTTACCTTAAATTTGTAAACTTGTCTTGTCTTGCATGCCTCCACAGAAATGAGGGAACATATTGATTTATTGATTGATTGGGGACCACGTTAAACAACAGCAGGACTATATCAAAACATCTGTTTACAAACTCTTACACAACTGGTGCAGTATAATCTAAGTCTCATTTATTCATTCGTATGCTCAGTACCTCCCAAACACTTACATTTTTTTGCTAAAAAACTTGGGGTTAGAGTCTGGGTTAGAGTCTTTGAAGAAAGCATTGATAGGTTTCACTTTCAGTTCACTTTTAAATAGTAAGGTTCCATCCATCCATTTTCAACTGCTTATCCAAAGCCAGGTCGCAGAGCAAACGCAGGCAAAATATTCCAGACGTCCCTCTCCCCAGCTACGCTTTCCAGGTCCTCCTAGGGAACCCCAAGGTGTTCCCAGGCCAGACGAGATATGTAATAGTAAATAGTAACGCTTTGGTTAAAATGCGTGTTTCTGAAGTGCTGAGCAAATGGCTGGATAAATAAGACTTGGGTTATACTGCATGAGTTGTGTGAGTTTGATAAAGTTTTGCTGTTGCTTAACGTGGTCCCCAATCAATTCATCAATTAATTATTTTCTGTGGAGGCAGACGAGAAAAACAAGTTTTCTTCATGAGTTCACGTTAACATGGCTTGACTAATTGATTTACAAATGGTCATTTTGTGGTTTAGGTTTTCCTCCAAGGCCCTTTCAGACACAGTATGATTCGAGTTGCGCATGCTGCTTGGTTCAGCACACATTTGACTAGGTGTTCAAGGAAGTTTCAGAGGAGCGGGGGCAGAATTTTCAGAACTTCTAGCAGCACTGCATCATTTTGTTGTTGCCAGCAACAAAGAAAATTCTAAAAAAAACCTCAGAAAAGAAACAGCAAAAGATCTGTAGAGCCACTGAGGGGGAGGTCTTTGTAAAGCAAAAAACAAACCTAAGCTATATTCATCATATAGGCTACACGTATGCCTCCATACATGTTTCGTGTTGATATGCCTACTTGGTTGGAAACGTGTTTCCAAGACAGGGCCGTTGTAGCGTTGTGTCTGAAAGTAGCCCTTAGGCTGCCAAGTCTTCTTTTAGAGGAGATGTTTTGTGAATAGCTGCCATTTTCAGACAGTGAGTTGACACAAGTGACAGGATAATTACGTAACGCATCTGTTGTATAAGACTTTATACTCATGTGTGAACATGCAGAATTCACATTCCAATGTGTTTATCCTTCATACATTCACCCACATGGTCAATAAGTATGTGCTTAATCTGGAGTTCCTAGTAACAGATGAGCCACTTGAACCACTTCAATTCCCATTGACTGTATTTTCCATTTAACACTATTTGTGGCACTTTGCAATTATTAAAGTGCACTTTCTTGTAAACAAACAAAAGTCAGGTTCACAATTAGTGCTACTCACCAAAGCTCATTGTTTGTATCTTCTGGGTATCACAAACATGTTGAGTGCATTTCCCTTCCATAAAACAGTTGCATTCTTAAGTATTTTGAATCCATCATTGTTTACATTCATGTTTACTAGTTGGCAGTCTTCTTCTTCCGCGTATTTGTTGGCAGATGGTCGCATGTGTTGGTGCATTGCTGCCACCCTTTGATCAGTGGAATTCTGTATCCACAGGATACCTTTACCATGCAGACTTTAATATCATTGAGTGATTTAAAACACCTGATACAGCCTTCAGCTACAGCTCACTTGTTTGAAGTTTAAACAATATATAGAAGTATATATATCAAACAATTTTTATGTGTATCATATTTTACTGAAATATCAGTTATTTGTTTATGCATTTGGCTCTTAGCACTGTATTTGCCAGGTACAGAGTTTAAGGATAATAAATGTCAACATAATAAAAAGTTTGAACAAACAATGGGCAGCCATGGGTGGAGTTTAGGATGCTTAATTGACTACAAATAAGTAACGACCTTGTCATTGATGGTACTATCTTTTCCTACGAGAAAAGGACAAAGACGATATTTGGCCTAATTCACCAGCTGAAGAAGAATTTTTTTCTTGAAACAGGTGTGCTGTTTTCCCGAATGTTCTACCAATGTTTTCTTATTTGGGATTTGTTCTTAGGTAAGAACAGAATCTGAGCACACCTAAGCACTCTTACACACACTTTGCGTTGACATGTTTGTGCAGAATGATAGGTTGTTTTGTTCACTTAATGATAGGCTTTATGGCGGCATAGTGGTGCAATGGTTAGCATTGTCACCTCACAGCAAGAGAGCTCCTGGGTCAAACCCGAGTTGGAGGGTTCAAATCCCAGGGTGGGGGAGCCCCCCCATGTGCGAAGCTTGCATGTTCTCCCCATGTCAGTGTGGGTTTTCTCCAGCTTCCTCCCACAGTCCAAAGACATGCACATTAGGTTAACTGGTGACTCTAAATTGGGCTGGAGCCTATCCCAGCTGACACTGGGCGAGAGGCGGGGTACACCCTGGACAGGTCGCCAGACTATCACAGGGCTGACACATAGAGACAGACAACCATTCACACTCACATTCACACCTTCGGCCAATTTAGAGTCACCAATTAACCTGCATGTCTTTGGACTGTGGGAGGCTGACGCTGACACAAGGAGAACATACAAACTCTGCACCAACACCACTGTACCAAAGAAAAGCATTATGGTCTTTTAAAATAAACACCAGACTTCGTTAACACTTTAGTTCACATCTGATAAGTAAGTAAGTAAACTTTTATTTATATAGCACCCTTCATAGTGCGCGTACACAGAGTGCTTTACAGTACAAACAATAAAACCACAGTTCAATCAGTCACAATAAACGTGCAACTGAAACATTCAAGAAAATATACACACAAGGCATATGGCAATGCAAGGTCAGTGCATGTAGAAGCATGGGAACCATGCCATCTTATAACTAGTTATTGATCATCTATAAAATGCCAGACGAAGCGGGCGAGACAAAGATTAAGACGCGAAGATTAAGGTGAAGGGCGGGATGCGCGGGGCGGCAGAGATCTGTAGCACTGTAAACATGGCAGCCGCAGACCATGTCGACAACGAGGGGGAGACAGAAGACGGTACAGCTTCGGCAGAAGACGACGGTCACCCGTGGTCATATTTGGCAACAATGTTCAGCTACCTCGGGATGGGGTTAAATCCCAAAACCTACTGAATGAAGTGCATGTTGTGCCTTCCAAAGTGCCACGAGATAAAGGCGTTTAACAACTCTCCATCCAACCTTAAGAAACACATTGAGGTAAGTGAATTAAGTAAGTTAATCGCTGCCAATGTCATGTCATGTGGCAGGAGGAGTATAAATATTAGTGCTGGGCCGTTAACGAGCGTTAACGACGCCGTTACCGATGGCCGATAACAGCGTTACCGACGGTCGTTAAAGGCCCAGCACTAATAAATATGTGCTAATAGTTTTACATAGTTTTAGCCAACATTTTGGCCTTTTCGTTAGCCAACATTACGTGCTAGTAAGAAGCAAGTTGCTAACGCTATGTGCTAATAACATAAGCAACTTGCCTGTAGATAATATCTTGCGGAAAATTGTTCTGCAGCAGTGTCAATAAAACAAGGTTAGCATCTTAACTTACTCAAACGAGGCAGTTTTCCTCCTGCATGATACATTTTTAATATCAAGTGCTTCACCTTTTTATGAAAAATACACAATCAAATCATACAAGATTAGTAACTTGAAGTTAAGCATTGGGTTATTGTTTGTTGTTGTTTGTTCATAGGAGCTGTAGTAAAATAGCATGCCGTTCAATAAAATGGCTTTGTTTTTGTTTTTTAAATTGTATTTGCTGTACAGCAATTAGATGTCCAAGCTCAGTGTGCTGTATTATGTTTTAGCTTTAAACAATTTGGTATTTTTGAAAGATAAAATATAGTTGACAGTTGACCAACATTTTTTTTTATCAATGTTGGACATGCCCACAAATGGGACACCAGGGTGAAAGTGGTTAGAACAATCCAGACCTATCATTGTGGTAACTGTTGAATGATGTCTTGAGTATCATTTAAACTAATATTGTTATTTCTTTTACTTTTGTGTTTTTCATGTAGAGAGCACATCCACACCATCTAAAAAAATATGAGCAGCTGACTTCACAGAAAAGAAAGAGGGCTTCGGAAGCTGGGACCTCCACCATCAAACAGACCACCTTGCTGGATACCCGATCCATATCTCAGAGTGCAGTTGACAGGGCCGTTGTTCAGTATGTTGTCAACGGGCTCCAGCCATTGTCAACTGTTGAAAATGAAGCCTTCAGAGAGCTTCTCACAGATCTCCTTCCTACTGCCAAAGTCATCACACGGGTCACCCTGAGATCAAGGATTGAAGATTTAGCAAAGACAATGAAAAACGTGTTAACTGAGGAGATGAGTAAAGTGGATCACATCGCCACCACTACAGACTGCTGGTCAGTTAGGAGAAGGAGCTTCCTTGGTGTGACTGCCCATTGGGTGAACCCTACAGACCTAACTAGACGATCAGCAGCCCTAGCTTGCAGACAGCTAAGAGGTTCCCACACCTTTGATGTTTTGGCCACCGCACTCAATGACATCCATTCTGAATATGGCATCAGGAACAAAGTTGTGAGGACAACAACCGATAATGGCTCCAACTTCCTGAAGGCTTTTCAAATTTTTAGTGTGGACAAAAACAATAATGAAGCAGAAGAGGAAGAGAAAGAGGATGAGGAAGGGAATGAGATGGAGGAGGGTGTGGAATTTGTTGACGTGACTTCGGTCCTAGATGAGAATGATGGCTTTGAGTTTGAGCTTCCAAAACATCAACGATGTGCTTGTCATCTCCTCAACTTAGTGTCTACACAGTTGATGCTGAAAAAGCAACAGCCAACGATGGATACAAAAAACTGCAACGCTCAACATTCAGCAAGTGTTATGGGCTGTGGAATAAGTGTGGAAGATCCTGCCAAGCAGCTGAAGCTGTGGAAGATGCCTGCTCCCTCCAGCTGCTACGACCAAACGCCACTAGGTGGAACTCCATGTTTATGGCTGTGGAAAGGCTCCTCAAGATTCTGAGAGAGAAGGGAGAGCCAGCTTTGAGAGAGATCTGTGTAGAACTGAAGGTTCCAATGTAAGTTTGAATTATGTATTTATCTATTTTTTTTATTTTTGGGTACAATATTCATGCATAATTGTGAAACAGTGGTTTGTTTTCTCCCTAACAGGTTCCATCCAGTTGAGCTCACTTTCCTCAAAGAGTACTACACCACCATGAGCCCTGTCGCCCAGTCCATTAACATCCTCCAAGGAGAAGTGGAAGTCCAGATGGGATGGCTTCTTCCGACTATTTCCCTGATGAGCAGCAAACTGGAAAAAATAAAGATTGCACTGAAGCACTGCAAGCCGTCGGTTGAAGCCATTCAAGTGGGCATCCAGAACCGTTTTGGTGAAATGTTAAGAGACCCTGAATTGGTTGCTGCAGCGATTCTCATCCCAAAATTCAAAACGGCCTGGATCCAAGATGATGCTACACTGAAAATTGGTAAGACAACATGGAGAAAATATTCATTAAATTACAAATTTAATGTACGTTTACTACATTTATGTTATTTTATTACTCATCGAATAGAAGTTGAGCCAATATCTAAGATGTCTAATTGTCAGAGTCAAGACTTTAAATTTGTGTTTCTCTCCTTATCTATTCCCTGAATTTGTGAAAGTAGGCAATCTGCAAGCTCACACTGCCTTGGTTGTAGATCTGTTATTTTCACAATTTGTCTCAACTTTTTTTCTATTTTATTTCTTTTTTTGTGTGCTAATTTTGGCCTTTTGTTTCTGATAGTGTTGTTAGTCAATGTAATATTATTTATTCCTTTAGAATTATGGAAAATGTCATAAATGTAATTAAATTTGTCCAATAAAAATGTGACTGTACTAATGCTAGTGTCACCCTCCTTGTGTTTCAGGGTTGGACTACATCAGGGAGCAGTTGGAGGATCCTTCCATTTCAGCAGATGCTGGATCTGGCTCATCTGATGAGGGAGACTTCTTCCACATCCTGAAAAGTTCCCACAAAACACCAAGCGCCACCAAGCAGCTTGATTCGTACCTGGCCTACTCAACAGATGACATCAAGATTCTCAAGACGTTTCCTGTGGTTCTCAAGTTGTCTGTCAAACTCAACACACCTCTGCCTGCTTCTGCAGCTTGCGAAAGGCTGTTCAGCATAGCAGGTCTCATCTTCAGCCCAAAAAGAGCACGGCTAGCTGCGGACACTTTTGAAAATCAGCTTCTGCTGAGGATGAACCGCAAGTTCAACTTCTCCACTTGAACCAGAAAGTTTGTGTGTGTGGTAGTGTGCCTCAGTTCATGAGGATTCCCCCAACATAGTTAAAAAGTGAAAAAGTGGTCCTTGTGTTAAATTTTGCAAGACATTGTTTATTTTTTGAGTTGTATTCTATACCACATTTCATTCACCTGAAAAAGTGAAATAAAAAAAACAAGGGGAGAATAATTTTTGGTTGTTTTGCTTCTTTTCATGCGTACTATAAAATACTTGTACTTTTACTTTTGATACTTGAGTATATTTTTTCACAAGATACTTTTGTTACTTAAGTACATTTAATGTGAGCTACTTTAAGACTTTTACTCAAGTAATTTTCTTATAGGTGACTTTAACTTTTACCAAAGTCATTTTCAGTTATGGTACTTATACTTTTACTTAGTTATTTTTTTCAAGTACTTTATACACCTCTGCTGATAACTTACAGAAAATTGCTTGACATAATCCAGCTTCCTCCTCACCTTAGTACCCCCTCTCTCTGTCCCTCTCTCAAGCGCATACATGCAGATCTTGTAGAGCGCTATGGCGTCAGTCTCTGTCCTCAGTCCTGACAGTTGTGCTACTGTAATGTGGAACATTTGCAGGCTTGTTTCAACAAGATGTAATTTAAGCATCCCACGTAGTATTTTTTGTGCTATTTTATATCAACTCCTGAGGCTACTAAATCTGATACTTTGTTTGGCATGCAGCTCGAAGCTATTGGTGTTTTTTTCTACCCTTTTTAGAGTTTCAGATGGGCATTCTTCACTTAATTCTCTCAATTTTTGTTCTTCTGAATGCCCTGCAGCCTTATGCCCTTTATTGGGGATCAGTGGAGTGTTAAGCTATGCTGATTAAAATCAACTGGCACCTCCGTTAAAGGTTTTTTTGGGGAGTTTTGTCCTAAGGACAGAGGGATGTCGTATGCTGTAAAGCCCTCTTAGGCAAATTGTGATTTGTGATACTGGGCTTTATAAATAAAATTGTTTGATTGATTGACCTGTTTTCAACTTTTGAAGACAATGGAATTCATCATTTTAAGAAACAATTCTGGGGTTTAAGAACATGTCATGAAGCTGACTTACTTTTCTTAGGTCCTTTCTTAAGAACAAATTTAAGAAAAAAACGTAGGAAGCAGGGGCGATTGCTCTGAGACAACAAGGGAGGCTGAACTTCCCCTAAAATTGCATAGAAGAAATGGTCAAATATGCACTATTGAATTTACATTAAAATAAGAATTTACATTGCATTAAATGTGCGCTAGGATGCGTTTAACATCATGACTATGATGTTCTAACCTCAGCTGTTTTTCAAACGCGACCTCCCTGTCATACATTCTCGTGTCAGCACGGTGGACGCGGAGCCTCCAAGAATTCCTATGAGACAGCGCTGGGCAGGTTTTTTTAATGCAGCAAAGGGAGACAGTCATTGGATAAATACGACAAAATTGTCACTTCCAGGGAGGTTCAGCTTCCCGGGGACCTAATGGAGTGGTAGGCGGGAGAGGACGCTCGGTGGTATGCATGATGTTTGGAGTAATTGTCTAAAAGGCTGAACCCCTTTATGATTCGCATTTCGAGCTCAGTCCCATGCGGATATATATGCCAGTGGCGAGTGTCGTCCGGAGTTTCTTATTTCCATAAGCGATATAGCTCATTTTCACCACAATTCAGGTGTTTAAACCCATCTGAAAATCTTTGAGGTGTGTTTTGCTGTGGTTCTGTGGCATGAGTGTGGTTGAAAAACGGCTTAAATCAAATGTTCCTTTTATAAGTTACTGCCTCGCTACAATATGACAAATTTTATGATGTAAACTTAAAGTGAACTTCCCCTGTTTGAAAGACCAGCAGTCGCCACTGGTAGCAAGGTACTGTTGAATGAGGCCCATTATGCGGATGAGGAAGAGTAAGAATAACTGGATGAACCATATTATTGTCAGTGGCATTTAACCTAATTGGTCTGTCTCATATCCTGGTGCCAATACCTTCATGATCTCTGTGAAAAAAGTCAAGCTTAAGATCTGAAGCATCACACCATGAAGACAAAAGGGAAGGCAAGTTGACATCCTAATCTGGATTGTGCAAAATAAAAAAAAGATGAGTGAAGCTGAGTGTCTGCTTGCAAGTTGTCTGTACAGAAATACTGAAGAATCAAACTTTAACCAAGATAGAGACTGTTGGACACACCTAAACCGTGTGAGTAGAAGAGCATGGTGTCCTTGGCTTAAAACCAAAGGTAAGCAAAGATAGGAGACGGAAAACAGTTGGAAGATAAGATTTAGGGTGGCCCAGATTGTCTAGAAGAACAAGGACAGAGATATGACATCATGTGCTTGGCAAGACCAAAGAACCAATAGAGACCTCAGTGGCATGTAGCTCACTGAGTTAATGACACGAACTTGAAATCACTTGACGTAATAGGTAGCTGTGTACTTTGTGCTCGACATGATTATAAACAACCAGATAACATCACACCAATGACAGAAAGGACACAAAGCGGGAGGCTGTTTAATAGTTGACAGCAGCAAGGCAAGGAATGTAAGGCATGCACAGGCATAATAGAACAAATGTTCCCTTTACTAGGAAACCAGCCACTGACGTCTTTTACAATCAGTTAGGACACCATCTATGTTGACTAATAATAATGCAATGTGGAGAACTTCTTAGATGCAATTGGCAGTGTTCAACATTTCAAGGCCTTTTTGTCCATGTTGGCTTAAAAGTCTTGACCTTGACCAAGACGTCAGGTCGTGACTGAGTGAACTTTCTGTCTCAATCAAATCATTGTCATGGCTTGTGAGAGATTACACGACTTTGCGTTCCCAGGAAAGTGTTCTGGATAGAACTACAGTGGAGGTCAGATTACACAAAGGAAAGTGCAGAGTTTCACATTTAGAAAACACCATGCTGAGCAGAACAACCCCTTGTCCATCAACTTTATGGAGAAAACCAGAAAGAACCTACCATGTCTCACATCCTGTGCCTGCCCCTCGTTTACTGGCTCTCGATGACAAACACACAGCATTCACTGGACTCTGCCCAACTAGCTGCAGGACCTGGACTTTGCTTACAATACTGCCCCCCCCCCCCCCACCACCCTCATGTACAGGAACGCAATCAGCAAGAACTTTTGGGCGCTAAAAGATGTTGAGACAGATTCAGCTGAATTTAGATATGCCTTTGGCTTCTGAGAAACGTATCAAGTTCCCATTTATGTATAAAATAAATATGGGTCATTTCCATATTTCCATTTAGAGATACAACATATGGGAGGGGGGAAATTTATACAAATATTCATTTGACAAAAAAGGGCAGAGACCAAAGCCAAGTTGGAGAGAAAGAGTGAAATGGTGAGTGAAGATGACTTTTGTCAGTCTTCAGTAATAGTTCAAACAATGAAAACACTTCAGCACTATCAGTAAAGAATATATGAAGTAACTACAGGAGGTCTCCATCTGTCACCACAACAGCACAAAACTAGACCAGTTGAGTATGTTAGTGAGTATGCAATATGTTGAGTATGAAGGTTTATTCTTAATCTTAGAAACTGATGAAAAATGAAGCTTTGCATTAGTTTGTGTAGGAAACGGAAGTCATACGCAGCTGTAATCAGCTGACAACTAGCTGACTGAATCATTGCTTCTAATCAGTCACACACCAATCACAGCCCATTCCCATTGCGCTCCCCTGTGCTAGTTTAGCATGCTGCTTGTCTGATCCAGGGAGCATCTTAAGAGTGGAGCCGTCAGCACCAAGTATAACTATCTCCATTTGTTGCAGTAAATGGTTAAATCTATGACAATACAAGCTAACCTTTAAGATGTTAACGTCTGTATGACAATAGGCCCATAAATGTCTATCATAGTTTGAGCGGTTTATGTTTGTAAGGGTAGTCACAGAACTTGATTTGTACGGAGCGTCTTCCATGGCGAACACAATACGGCGTTGCACATGGTCAGTAAGTCAACATCGATGCAGGCTCACTGTCAGAGGGATTTAAAACTCACTTAGACTCCTCACTAGTTGGTTTGGGATGTCACTCAGTGTGGCTGACCCCCCACGTGAACGCGGAATGAAGTGAAAGTGGGTAGGGAGAGGGTGTAGGGGATGGTTTGGGAAAGGCCCTCTGTGTCCTCATGTCAGGACATCACATTTTGGGTTTACTTGACTTCCGCATTTGTGGACACTTTTTTTGTGCCATCTAGTGGTAGTAAGAGCACAATATACCAATCCATGTAAAAACAAGATGGCAGCCATCCCTGCCAAGTCAGTCTGCAGCCGATCCTGACACAAAACTGGATAAGGACCAAAACCTGATCAGATGTTATAGTTGAAACTTGTTTATTTATGATTAATAATGTTTGCAGTTTGATATGGCAACAATGGACTTTATTGTTGTCTTGTTTGAGGATAATGGGACTTTAATATCGCTGACAATATTTAGTTTGCATACCAAACAAAAGTTCGGGTCACAGGAGGATATGTGAGTGAGATAAAACGTTAAAGTGTAGGCCATAGATTTCTGGTCCAAGGAGATTTAAAGTTCCAAGAATCCACAAAAATCTCCCATGTTCATTCAGTCACTGTTTTTTTGTTGAGCTGACAACATCAGGCTATTTGACTAAGACTTCCTCACAACGTATAGCCCTAGTGTTGTCACAATACCAAAATCTTTGTTTCAGTACCAATACCAATATGAATTTCAATACTTTTCGATACTCTTCGGTACTTTTCCTAAGGAAAAGTCCTTTTGGATACAAACCTTTAGAACAATAAATAGTAGGGGTGTAACGGTACCAAAAAAATCATGGTTCGGTAAGTACCTCAGTACGGACATCACGGTTTGGTAACTCAAATATTCCACCAAGTTTGTGTTGTCTCGTGTTGTCTCCCTTTGCAATTCAGACTTTCTCTTGCCTTTTTTCACGTGCGCCAGCTGCGAATGTTGATACAGTTGTTGTCATACACACCACTTGCGCAATCTGTGCTCCAATAGGAACAAGAAAGGCGTTTGTGTGCATAAATTAGTAAAATAAATTAACTAAACTAATGAATTGAATCAATTTCAAAGTACCGGTATTTTCCAAATGCAGTATAGTACCGTTTGGAATACTCTAGTACCGCGGTACTATTTTAGTACCGGTATACCGTGCAACACTATATAGCCCTCATCTTGTGGGAAAAAGTGCACGCATAGCGTTCTCAAAGTGTCTTCTATTTAGCTAATATTTCACTCAAAGCCCAGAATAGACCTGTCTTGCACTTCATTTACTTTCCAGATATGCACACAATGTGTCTTTGAAAAGCCCAGCATCAGATCCTATTCAACAGCAGTTCATGCAAATCAAATGATCTGCAGCTTGGCTCGATTAAATCTGCAGACTTGGTGCTTGCCAAACACATCAAGTCCTCAGGTGTATTGGAAGTACCTTGAATTCCACGAAATGCCTCAGGATTTTTTTTTCTTAAAGCAAAACACTTTTTTCTCTGGAAATCAAAATGATATTTCAAGACGTGAGATGGGATTATTAGTTTATATGATTGCACAGCTTTTCTCACAGTATTTACTGTAGTGACATTATTTTGTAAACGTGCCCAAATATGACTAACTCGCACGGTGCAGTGCAGGCCTGGACACTCTCTGCAGCTCTCTAGCTGCACTGTTGGCTGCAGGGCCTTCATGGTAAATAAAGAACAGAGCGTCTGTAGAGGCGACAGAGCTCGATGTGAATGGTTTCATTAAACGAAATAAATAAAACTCCTTTTGTGTTCTGGGACAGTGATTTCATGAGGTCATTGTTAATGTGTTTGCAGAATATCGAGTCCAGACTGAAGGTGTTGCTCCCAGACGATGTTGGAGCTGCTCTGATGGATGGGGTCGTCCTTTGCCATTTAGCCAATCACATTTGTCCTCGGTCCGTCGCCAGCATCCATGTGCCGTCTCCTGCAGTGGTAAGCAGCAGGGAGTTTTTTATTTTGAATGACAGATATCACTTTGTGATGATAAATGAGCTTTCTCATTCTGTTAATAATGATTTGCAGTGTTGTCTGCATGACCGACAGTAACCACACAATGTCATGAAATGTTTCTTGTGTTCTGCTTTGAATGTCTAACATGATTTATATTGTGGCCTCCAGCCAAAGCTTAGCATGGCTAAATGCCGTAGGAATGTGGAGAACTTCTTGGATGCCTGTAAGAAGCTGGGTGTCACACAGGTAATAATATCATATTACATATAATATATTAAAAACATGCAGTTTACATTTACTTAATGTTTTTCTTGTTCAGATTTTGATGATGATTTAATAATGAGATCAACTAACAAATGTACAGTAATATTGCCTGACTGTACTAAATCTCTCCATGCTCTGTCATGCTGACTAATTCGTCTGGTTTGCACTGACTGATGGAAAATGTATTGCGTGGCTAATGAAAATTAAAAAAGCATTCATTTTCATTTTCTTTAGCAAGACCTGCCTGACAAATAAATATATCAAATTCTTATTACGAGACAATTATATAGCGGTAAGTATTGAAAGGCATGTAAATGTCAGCCACTCTTAAAATTACATCCACACAAATTAAATCAAAGGGCGCGGTTTGTGTGGAAGCCAATAAAATTAATTAAACCACTGCTGAAGAATATTAATACATGTATAGCACTGAAATATATATCTTTTTAAAACACAAATGTACATTTATGTGGTTTGAATTCTCCGCTTTGAAATTTAAGATGAGTAATTTCAAGTTTTTGCAATGCCAAAAAAGTTTACTTTAAGCCTAAATTCACGTGCCCAGGGTTTCCAGTTTCTCAAGTGCACTTTGTGTTTCTTAGATCACATGACAGCACAGAGGGCAGCTTATATTTTATTTGATTTGATCTCACTGTATTGTTAGAATAAAATTCTGAAATCTGTCTTGTGTCCCAGGACATCGACTGTTTCATATGAATAACACCTGAATACAAAAATACAAAACAACATTTAGCAAGCAAGCAAATAACCAAATCCTACAACAAATGCCAGAAATCACCAGAGTCATTATGAAAAGTGGATGCAGTGCAACATATTACTCAGTACGTATTACATTGATTGTTCGCCTGATTTAACAGGTTGACAGACTGAGGAACAAATGAGCTTCTCACCCCGTTAAGTCGAGGTTCAGGCTGGATTGCTTGAATTTCAATGATTGAATTCCACCAATACAGTTTTAGTAACTTGATGCATTCACTTGACTTCAATTTTTAATTTAGAAAACGACCAGCTAAAGTTAAGCAATGTATTTTTTTTTATATTAAACATGATTAAACACAGATACAACCCCAGATCAGGGCTCAGCAACCTTTACTATCAAAAGAGCCATTTTTGGCCAAAAGATTAAAACTTAAAAAATCTCTCTGGAGCTACAAAACATATTTGAAAGCCAAGGGCTGAAATAAGGCAATTTCCTTTGACTGCTGTGCATCATAAAGTGTCATATATTTGTGAGTGCTGACACCTTCCTTTGCTATTTTGGGATATTTGGGTGGTCACTTGTTATACTATAAAAACATTTGAGTTGAGCATGGTAGTTCTTTTGAGCCTTATAATTAAAGAAACGCAGACTATTAAATCTAATAGTGCACCCAAAAAGAAAATTCAGCCATTATCTACTCACCCATATGGCGAAGGAGGCTCTGGTGAAGTTTTAGAGTCCTCACATCACTTACGGAAATCCGAGGGAGAGGTGGCTAGCAGCACAACTGCACACCTAATGGCTGACGGCGACCCAGATTAAAACGTCCAAGAACACAGAATTGAAACCATAAAATAACTCCATACTGCCTGTCCGTAGTGATCCAAGTGTCCTGAAGCCCCGACATAAAAAGTTGCCAGGTGGTGGCTACTCTGCAGCGGACTATTTATGATTATGTTGTGCTTTGACTTTGCGGCATTGGCGGTGAAAACATACAAATCCATCCACACATTATTATATTCTCTATGTCCCTTACTTTTCCTTTTTTGGATTTGTAATCCAGACAGTAGCTAGCTAACAAGGAATACTCAAGACTAGCCACCGCTATTGAGGTTTGGCAAAATTTGAAGGAAAAGGCACCAGGCCACTGATGAAAAACTGACATTTTAGTTGACGACATGTTGAAACATTTCTTGTATTATGTGAATAGGCTACACATTTAAAAATTAAGATGTTGAAAAAATAAATATTATTTATTTCTGTGTAATTTTTGTCAAAGCAACAGGGAGCCTCTGTAGAGGGGCTAAAGAGCTGTTTGTGGCTCTTGAGCCGACCCCTGCCCTTGATATTAAATCCATATATATAGCCCTCTGAGGCTAATTGTGATGCTTGTGCACAAAACTGGGTTACAAATATCTCAAAACCAGCTAAAATAGATTATGTTTTTTTGTTTGCTTTGAGTGAACTGATCCTTTACAAAGTGATCAGGGTTAGAGAATGAAGCAGCGTGCTGTTACTGTGGAAAGTTTCATTAATGTGCTTTTATTAGCCACAAAGGTCATTAAAGGGATAGTGCACCCAAAAATGAAAATTCAGCCATTATCTACTCACCCTCATGCCAAGGGAGGCTCTGGTGAAGTTTTAGAGTCCTCACATCCCTTGCGGAGATCAGCGGTGGGAGCGGCTAGCACACCTAATGGCTGACGGTGCCCCAGACTAACGTCCAAGAACACAAAATTGAATCACAAAATATCTCCAACATGCTCATCCATAGTGATCTAAGTGTGCTGCAGCCCCGACATAAAAAGTTGTTTCAAAAAACATCATTTGATGTGAGGACTCTAAAACTTCACCAGAGCCTCCATCGGCATGAGGGTGAGTAGATAATGGCTGAATTTTCATTTTTGGGTGCACTATCCCTTTAAGGAAAGTCCCAGGTCTACCCAAAATATTGTTACAATTATTTAATTAAACATAACACAGCCAGAGATTCAATGACAGTAACAGATCACAGAAATCTCAGAAATGAATATCAACTAATAAAACCAAAACTATCTGCATGGTTAGATTGGTTAGATACGACTACACCTAAGTAGGATTTCTTTGTAATTTGGGTGAACCAACCCTCTGAACAATGAAGGTGAGGAGAAGCCACGTAAGTCAGGCCTGTATGTTTCTGAGTGTAACTGACGAAAGACGTCTCTCTGCCTACTCAGGACAAGCTGTGTCTGCCCCACCACATCCTAGAAGAGCGTGGCCTGGTGAAGGTGGGCGTGACCGTGCAGGCTCTGCTGGATCTGCCTACATCGAAGTCCACACAACTGTCAGCCGTTTGACACGAGCCTGAATGTTGCGTCCAACCCACAGTCATCCAGCCAACCCCTCTCCCCTTCCTGAACCTACACCCCATCGCCAGGGACCAGAGAGCCCCTCGGGGTGAGGACCCAGTGGTCCGTGGGTCTTTGGGAGTCTGCTTCTGCCTGACTGAAATGGGAGACAGGAGGGAGAAATACCTCTGTCTCTTTATATGATGTCAGCCGCCACCCCACTTCCTGTCCATCACATTTTTACTTGTATCCTGTTCCTAATTACTGGGGTCATCCTGTATGTGTGTGGACTAGCAGTGTGACTGTGTGTTTCCTGAGCTGCACAGCTTGCCGAGAGGAGACTGAAAAGACAATGGGTCTATACAGGAGGACCTGTGCATCTCTCTCTGCATGCTCAGTGATTATTGAGCCTGCAAGTGCCAGTACTAACAACATTTCCATGCTGGTGTTGGAGACATTGGCAGTGAGGAGATGACAGACATTTGACTCACTCTTTCACTAAAGAGACTGAAGCTGCACGCTGGCCTCGCAGCCACAAACCACTGACTGACCTCAAGGGGTTCATACACTCTTGACTTTCTCTTCTCTTTGTGGAGTTTATTTCTTCCCATGAAAATTCATTTTTGAATTTATACATGTTTTTTCCAGGTTCCTACTGTCACTGCTTCTCAGCAGCCAGACGTGTTCACATTTGTTTGAGCAATCACATCACAGCTTTTTGAGGGTGAACGTATGGTGTGCCTCAGAACAGCGTGACAATTAATATTTGCTTGAAGTCACGCTCCAGTTGATGTCTGCCTGTTTTCCCCTCGAGTGTTGTTCTGAAACATATAAATTACTGCGCAAATCAGTACTTCAGAAAAAAAAACCTCTCTTAATACAAACCTGCATGCCATGACATCTGACCACTGTGACAACATGTGCTTGGCTGCGGCTCAAAGCATGGCGGTCCTGTTATGTAGCTTCTTTTTTTTTTCATTGTACATTAATTTTCTGTTGTTGAAAATATTCTGTAATCCAACTTTTCTAAAGCTTTTATACTTTCCAATCATTGCCAATTATCACTGGCCATTTTTCTGGAGGTCAGAGCCTGGGTGTGCCATGTTGGGCACAAAGCAGTTAGGATTTTATTGCTGTGCGTAACCTCTGATGAAACATGTTTATACTGTATGTGTTTGTGAGTGGAGGGGTCTGAATGAAGGGGCCGTCACTCCTGCAAACCTTCCACACATTGCACGGTCCTGTTGTACAGCCAGGCCACCCCGCTCTGTGGTTTCTGATACAATTCATTATTTCAGGGAAATGAAATTATTTATGTATTTATTCATTTGTTTTGTATTTATATGTTGTTGGTTTTGTGCATCGAAGCCCTGGCTATCAGTTCAGGTGCGGTGCAGCTGACTTTGTGTGTTTTCTGTAACAACCTGATCTACTTTATGACTCTTTGGCAAGATGTGGGGAAGTGACTAATCACCAGGTGGCTAAACAGGTCCTCTGTGACCTCTCAGCATTAGTGACAACTGTTAGAGTTGATATTTAGTTCAGTATGGGCGTTAAATACAACTACGTTCACACCATTTGTGAGTGTAGCTGACAGCAGTGTTGACAGCATGAGAGGTACTTAAAGAATAGAGGCATGATTGTTGGGTAGACATTATGCAAGAGTTTTAATGTCAGTCTCGTGAGGTGATTGGCATGTTAGTCCAGGCTGTAATCTTTTTAAAACTCCAACAGGTTTTGGTGGGAAGAGTCTGTGTCTCCTCTCTAAATCCAGAGGGTTTTGCAGGTCTGTGAACGCAGCACAGGCGGAACTCTTCTTTTCTTCCATCAGCAGAAGTTTTGGAGTTTTTAAACAGCAGGGTGGATGATTGATTAGTCAATCCGATCACAGCTGATCAGATCAGATCGATGAATGAGAGGAGCAGCTGTTTGTGACTGAAAGCTAAGTTTTAGACCCAGCGCAATAAACGGTTAAGTTTCACTTTCATGACGGCTGATGTTCTGCTGCTCCGTCTGTGCCCAGAGTGAGCTCTGCACTGCAAGACTGTGGAACTGTGAATAACTCAACAGTATATATTTTCCACTATAACTCTCAATGAACAGTCCAGCTCCAAAAATAGAAAATTAAAGCTAGGCGACAGACGAATGTGTGGGAAACCCTGCATTGTCTCACATTGCCTGTGTCTCGGCCAGAAAGTTGCACTTGAGCACACCGCAAAGACTACAGCCAATGACCAACTAGCACGGACACTGTGCGTCTGCGAGAGAGGAAATAACTCTTCATACCAGACTGTAACAACAATACAACCCAATGTTAAGAAAACAAAAAATATTTCCTGTGCACTAGCGATCAATAACACAAACAATTGCAAACTGTTTCTGCTAAAGAGCTCAATGGCAAAAAATAATCTTACATAATATAATAAGTCTGTTTTGATCCCACGCCCTTTTGATCATAGTCATTTGTTTGCTTTCTTCATTTGCATTTCTCTTCTCGTACGCTGAGCTGTCAATCAGAGTGTTTTCATTTACCGACAGGCTGCCATTCAACATGCTGAATCAATCGAAAAACAACCGTCAAGTGTTGACTAGTGCCAACGATGTGGGACACATTGCAAAAATTAGGGCGACAGACACTGACGGACAGCCAGCTGTCAGCTTGGTGTGTCAGGATTCTTGACAAGCTTAAGACTTATACATATTGATAAGACATCCATGAAATGACCTTTGGCTATTGACAAAGGCTTTGCTAGTTTCTTTGATGAAGAAATAGCTAATCATAATGCAAAAACTGTTAAAACATGAGAGCATTGTTTGTGTAGCTGAAACATCTTGGAGGGTGATGCCACTTTAACACCTTGAGAGTCTACAAATATCATCATCAAGCAGCACTGTAACATCTAAGAACATGACATACTGTGCCTTAAAGAAGGGGTATTTATTTTGTTTATCTGCAGTTTTTTTTGTTTGTTGTAAAAAAAACATGTAATGGTTTTCCTCCCTGTTCTGTTTTTTTGAAGGGATGCTCTAGATTAGCTGTAACATAAGAAGTTTCTCTGCTGGAGGGCTACAGCTTCTGACTGGCTGCTAACTGCAGGAAAATTAAGTTAGAGCTCAGTGGCACTGTTTATTAACTCAGCGATCTACAGTGCATAGGCAACCAAAATCTGAGAGAGCGTATTTGAGGTTTTATTCACTCTGGCATTTACTGTTAATGCTTTGAACCTCACTGTACAAAAGTCACCTGTATGTCACATGGTTGGACTTTCCAGAAGAACCTCTGCTTCCTTTAAACGGGCTCTATTATTGACTAACTTTATGCCGTCATTTTCCAAGGAAGAGATGCCATGGAGATGCCAAACAATACAGGGCTTCCAGTTTATCAGGCTTAGGGTGTAACAAAAAAAAAAAAAAAAAATAAACTCTCATGTTACATCTTTTCTGCTGCAGAAAATTCCCATCAATTTCAGGCTACTGTGGGTTATCAGGTGCTATTTCCTGTGCTGTTGAGCTGCATTTATCAAACAAGCAGCTGTTTTAAGTACGGACACGTATTCATAGGGTGTGCAACAACAGACTGCATCTCACAACAGCATCTATTAAACGTGCTGACCATATTTATCAGCATGTGAGCGGTTCACGTATTATCAAACAAGAGGTGATGTGAAATCTCAAAAACTGTAGCACACAGCGCTATGTTAGCATTACAGAAGCTGCCTTTATCTGAAAGTGTCACACAGAAAAGGCATTACTAAAGGTAGCATTATAACTTCTTCAGTTTTTTTCTGTCTATGATTACAGGTTTAGAGACGATGCAGAAACAGAGCTGATGTGTAACCTACCTCAGGTTTGCTGTGTCAGACACTGGCGGGTTTAGATTTGAGATACTTTTCTGATCAAAAGTGAAAGATGTTCCTGTATGCCTAAAAACATAAGCTGGCCATACCTTACTGTATGTTTTCTGTCTTGTATGTTACTGCACATATTTACACACAACTACTTTGTTTTTGCGGAAAGATAAAAAGAAGTGAGTTTGAATTTTAATGCATTTTGATGACAATGACATTAAATTAACTGAGACACAAAAGGGGCAGAAAGTCAAACCACAAAGAAAATATTTTGTTGCTTAATCATCGTGTGGTTCCTGCTGTGGTTTGTAATGGGATTTAACTACATTTTCAAATAAATGTGAATAGTATGGCAAAAAACTAGCACAAACATCTTGATATTCGCTTCTGAGGCTGAACCATCTGGACCAAGTATTACCACTTATTAATGCCAGAATGTCTATGAACCTGATTTATTATTTCAACCTAGTCGCCAGAATTAATGTTTTGGCATTGTACGTTTCTGCAAACCACGGATATTTAACATTTGTACGTAATTATGTAGAGGATATGTTGAAACTTTGCGTTTCTTTATGTTTCAGTAACATTGTGGTTAATGTGTGGTTAGGTTTAGGCACAAAAACCACTTGGATATTGATAGGAAAAGATTATGTTTTGGCTTAAAACACCTGCTTTTGGTGGGACAATCATTGCTGGAAATGCTGCAAATGTCCCACTAAAAACACCTGCTGTTGGTGGCACAATTGTTGCTGGAAATGCCACCAGTGTCTCTCAAAAAAAAACCACTGTCGGTGGCACAGTCACCACTGGAAATGCCAATGATTTCTGGCTAAAAAACACCCGCTGTTGCTGGCACAATCACAGTTGGAAATGCCACCATTGTCCTGCTAAAAACCCACTTTTGGTGGCACAGTCACCGCTGGAAATGTTGTTACCAGCTGGTGCTGGCACTGCTGGAAATGCCAACCAGTATCCCGCTAAAACCTGTCCTGTTTTTGGTGGCATATGTGCCACTGGAAAGGTTGCTGATGTCTTAAAAAATACCTGATTTTGGTGGCACAATTACAGCTTTAAATTCTGCTAATGTCTCGTTAAAAAACAACTGATTTTGTTGGGACAATTGCCGCTGGAAATGCCACTGAAGTCACCACTGTTGCTGGAAATATTACCAATGTCCCATTAAAAAACACCCACTTTAGGTGGCACAATCACCGCTGGAAATGTTGTTGATGTGTTACCAGCTGGTGCTGGCACTGCTGGAAATGCCACCAGTATCCCGCTAAAACATATCCTGTTTTTGGTGGCATATGTGCCACTGGAAATGTTGCTGATGTCTTGCTAAAAAACACCTGATTTTGGTGGCACCATCGTTGCTGGAAATACCACCAATTTCCCATTAAAAAACACCCACATTTGGAGGCACAATCACCGCTGGAAATGCCACCAGTGCCCTGCTAACCCCCTCCCCCTGTTCTTGGTGGCACAAGTGCCACTGGAAAAGCCACACGTCTCACAAAAATACACCTGAATTTGGTGGCGCCACTATGAAACGTACAAATGTAACGTATCAGTGGTTTGCAGAAACATAGAATGCCAACAGAGGATTCTTCTGGCGAATGGGCTGATTATCTTCACAAAACAAAAAAAACTGCAGTTACATAAAACACTTCTTCCTCAAGGTGTGGTGACTTCACCTGCTGGAAATTATGATGAGTTTCTCTCTATTGTAATGATGGGAATTAACACCTCAATTAAACTGTATAGCTATAGGACACAGGTGAAAGTCCTTTACATGAGTCACCCCTTTTGTGTTTTTTTTTTTCAGTGTTATCTCCTTGGTATCATGCACTGCATGCCTGGGCATGATATATCTCCCTCCATGTACGCAAAGGCGCTGCTTTGTTTCCTTTTTGATCCCGTTAATATTCTTTTCAATTGCCTGTAGCACTTATCCTCTCACTAATACGCACACATGATCGAAAATTCAATTTAATGTGTGATGTTTAAGTCATACACAGTTACAAATAACTCCCAATACAATGCCACCTAAGTGTGCGGCTCCTCCCTCTTTCCCTTGATGTCTGCGTGAGCCAGCGCCTCAGTTACCTTCAGTTCTTTGTTAGTGAGATGACTCATTCATCTGTCAGCCAAGGAGAGCAAAACAACTGTGACTTTTCTGTGCAGTGTAACTATGTCGTCAAATGTCACACTGATGCCTTACTCCTGTTTTTCCTGTTTACACCCCCGTATGTCATGATGCCCTTTTATTGTTTTACTGTAAATTAACCAAGTGCCAAATCACGAAGGCATTATTACTTCACAGCCTTCAGTATTTGAGCAAAAGCATAATTACGGGCACTGTCAACACTGTATACAAATATCTACTACTACTATCGAGCTGAAATGATGAAAATCCCACACACACACATACTCACACAGCTCCTGTATAGCAGGACCTGTATCAAGACTATTCAGATGG